TAGTTGTGGAATCTTATTCTTCAGTTCAAATCAGTTAAAATATTCAGAAACACCAGTAAGATCTTATTAGAGAGCTTAGTGACATAAATATATTATGAAGCCCAGGCCAAACTGCATTTCAGTACAAGGATAGGGGAGAAGCCTTGGAGACCATGTTATCTAGTATCTCTCAGTATTTCAGCCCTGAGCCCTCTTGTGTCAGTTCTTCTCCTACCCTCACCTGCCATATATCATGGAAATTTCTGTGTTACCGTCATCACTTATAGTTAATATTACCATATCTAAGATGATGCTGCATTCAAAAAATGAGGAAATGTTCATCATATTGGTAAATGCACAATTTTCACGATACTTTTTCGGATATCCTCTAGTTGGGAATCACTTGTATTGTTTTGTTCTTTGCACTGCCTGTGTGTGTTTTTCAGTGTCTACTTTGACAAAGGAGGGAGAAGGAAAAAAAGCATAGAATAAGCAGCGTGGAATCTAGGTTCCTCATCCTAATTATAACTAGAACAGCTCTACTTTTAACTTTAACAAAGCTGAAGTTCTACCTAAAAATTGGTATGCAGTCACTGGGCAGAAGGAAGAAAGGATTCCATTGCATTTTTAGAAAATGAAAGATCACTGATCATAACCAAATGTTTTGTTTTACCTATAAGGACATAGGTATCTCAGAGGGTAAAACTTAGTATTTCCTCATTTTCTACAAGACACCATAGAAACTTCTTAACTCGGCTAATCTTGCCATTGCATGCCTTTCATGTTCTGTCACTGTCACCCATGTCCTCCAAGCAAATCATGCATCTCTACATATCTGTATCTTGTTCAGCATATGCTGCCACTTTTCTATTTGGAATCTGTTTTCTCTTTCCTCAACAAAGTCCTCTTTCATAATAAAACTAAAGAGTCTCCTCCACATTCTGGCCTATCTAAGACAACAGGAATTTCACATTGTCTTACTTCCCTTGCTACTAACATAAAGATCATTTTCTTGTACACATAGAATTTCATGTTGAGATGAAAAAAGTTCTGGAGATGGATGGTGGTGATGGTTGTGCAGCAATGTGAATATACTTAATGCATATATATATGTAAAAATATATGGAGATGTGTAAGACAAGGTGTTTATTGTAAATTCTAGGAGTACTCTGATAATTTCAATGACATGTTAAAATAAGGGAGATGTGTGCAATAGGCCACAAGAACACAGAAAATAAGGTAAGTAATTTAAAGAACAAGGGAATAAAGAACATTTCCTGGAAGAAATAAAAACTGAGATTAGGCATGAAGAATATGTGTTACTTAACCAAAAGAAAAAAGTGATAAGAGATTTTAGGGAGAAGAAAGAGTTTGAACAAAGCTCAAAACAACCTGTAGGGTATGTCTCTAGAGTGTAAATTCCAAAGCCGGGCATGGCAGATAATGAGGTTAGAGATCTAACTGCAGATTATGGAACTTTTCAAGACCCAACTTCCCTGCCATATCTAGGAAGCTTAATTTCAATTAGCTTTCTCTCTACCCCACACTCACTGGAGCCTCTTGAAGAAGAAAATACACTATGTTAGTACTTGGGCCTCACATGACAAATGGCAAGTATGTGGTGATACTATCAAGACACAGTCATATGATAAGTAGTGATGCTGTGTATTAAAATAAGCTCTACTGCAAATCACAAAATTATGTCTTTATAACTATTGATAAAACTTCAACAATAATTGTTGTTAAAGTTAGCATTCCTTAATATATAGAAAATATGTCTGTATGATCTCAAACTTTAAGTACAACAGACAACTGAGATTTTTTTAATGACACTCTTGAACATATACAATACTGTTATTTTAACCCCCAACTTTACTGCCATTTGAAAAGTATTTTCTACCAAATAGTGAACCTACCTGTTCAGTTACCTCTAAACTGAGTACTTCCCAACTAAGGAATCCCATCAATTGAGTTAGATATTGTTAGTGATACAACCTTCCATCCAGTTTTTCTGCTGCTTTTCTTGTGAGCATCTAAGTCAGTATGCAAAACTATTTGTGTGCAAATCAAGATTTTTCTATATATTGTGTAAATACAAAACAAATACAGAAATAAACTGTATGCTAAGGCCAGTAAGCCAGCAGTGAAGTAAGAGTGATAAATAATCCTTTGTTGTGGTAAGACAATGAGATTTCAGGGCTAATATATTGCTGCAGCATGACCTAGTCTAGCTTGACTAACAGTTGTCATATAACACAAGATGGAAAAATAGAAAGTAAGTAATGGCAGGGCCAAGATCCAAACCTAGTTCTGACTACACCAATGGTTCTCAAATCTATGCTGATGGTTTCTTAAAATATATATTCCCGAAGTTCCAGGCACAGATATTTTTATTCAGTAGGCTTTGAGTGAGGCCCAGATGAATATATTTTTAACATGTTCCCCAGGTGATTCTGCTGTACAGGCAGGGGCAGGAGCCATTGGACTATGCCATACTATTGGACTATGCCATACTACACTGCCCTGCCTGACTGTTCCCATCACCATACTCTAATGTTCTTGTAAGAGAAGCACGGCTGCTTTTGACCATTGAGGGAAAATAATGTCTAGAAAGGGAAAAACTTGGAGAAGATATGTTAGAAAATTATAAAATCAGAAAAGGGGCAGACCCATATAGTGGAAAGATAGTGAACCGGGGGCTGCATATACAGTTAGAAAAAGGAATGTCTCTTCTATCCTTGCCCTATAGGTGCTAGAAAATCTTGAGAACGTCTATTAAGCGTACTGGGCATCAGTGATACCTAATATACAGAATTGCTATGCAGATTAGGGATTATGTATGTAAAGCACCCAGTGTTCTGTCTGGCACATAGATGCACTTGATAAATATCAGCTTTTTCCCATCCCTCTCCTGCCTTCTAGAAGCATCACATTGGCTTTCGCTTCCTGCATTTAACAGACTGGAATAGAAACATATTTAGGGGCAAAAAAAGCAATAGCAGCTCTCAGCTTCTTCTGGGGTGCAGGGAAAGAGTTGGGCTGTGTGCCTATATTTATGCCAGACAAAATAGACTTTGAGACAAAGCTGTCACAAAAGACACAAAAGGTCATTATGTAAGGATAAAAGAATCAATTATTAAGGAAAATGTAACAATTTTAAGTATTCATCCAACATTAGAATTATCTAAATATATGAAGCAAACATTGACAGAACTAAGGGAGAAATAGCAATAGTAGGATGCTTTAATACCTAATATTTAACAGTGAATAGAAGTTCCATATGGAAAATCAATGAGGAAACAGGACATAAGCAATCATAGACCAAATGAACCCAAGAGACATATACAGAATATTCCACCAAATAGCAAAAGAATACACATTTTTAAAAGTCAAAGAGAATTTTGAAAGTAGCAAGAGAAAACTCATTATATCTAAGGAAATATACATAACAACATTGGCAGATTTCTTAGCAGAAATCTTACAGGCTAGAAGGCAGTGAGATGATATATGAAAAGTGCTGAGAATGAAACTGTCATCCAAGAATACTGTAACTAGCAAAACCTGTTCTTCAGAAATGAAGGCATGATGAAGACTTTCCCAGACAAACAAAACCTGAAGGAATTCTTCACCAATAGATGTGCCTTACAGAAAATGCTAAAGGGAATTCTTCAAGTTGAAGAGGAAGGATGCTTAACACCCATTCAAAAGCATGTGAAAGTATATAACTTCGTGGTAAGGGTAAATATATATACAGATTGAAAATACCATAACATGTAATGCGATGGGTAAAAAAGTTTTAATTTGTCTAGAGATTAAAAAGGCAAAAATAGTGCAAATATAACTATAAAATGTGTTAATGAATAAACAATTTTAAAAGATATAAATTGTAACATCAAGAACAAAGTGTGGGGAGAAGAAAAGTAACAGTGTAGAGTTTCTGTATGGAGTTAAGTTGATACTAGCCTGAAATAGACTATTATAACTATAAGATGTTTTATATAAACCCCATGTAACCACAAAGAAAATACCTATAAAATATGCACAAAAGAAAGTAAAAAGTAAATTTTTTTAAAAGTAAGTAAAAAAGAATCAAAGCATATCAATGCAAAAAAAAATCAACAAAAGAAACCAGCAAGAAAGGAAAAGAACATAAGAACCAAAAGACAGAAAACTAGAAAATGGCAATAGTAAGTTCTTCTCTATAAACAATCACTTTAAATATAAATGAATTAAATTCTCAAATTATAAATGGCTACATAGATAAAAATAAAACTAATAAGATATTGGATCTTATATGCTGTTTACAGGAGACTGACATTAGACTTAAAAATATATAAAAGCTAAAAGTCAAGAGATGGAAAAACGTTCCATGCAAATTGTAACCAAAAGAGAGTAGGATGGATGCCTATACTTATGCCAGAAAAAATAGACTATGAGACAAAGCTCTCACAAAAGACACAAAAGGTCATTATATAAGGATAAAAGAATCAATTCTTATGGAAAATGTAACAATTTTAAATATATATTCATCCAACATTAGAATTATCTAAATATATGAAGCAAACATTGACAGAACTAAAGGAGAAATAGCAATAGTAGGATACTTAATACCTAACATTTAACAATGAATAGAAGTTCCATATGGAAAGTCAACGAGGAAACAGAGGACATAAACAATTATAGACCAAATGAACCCAAGAGACATATACGGAATATTTCACCAAATAGCAGAATAATTACATTTTTTTTCAAGTGCTGAATTAATTACATGTTAGGTCACACGATAAATCTTAACAAATTTAAGAAGACCGATCTCATGCTAAATATTTTTTTCTGACCACAATGAAATGAAACTAGAAATCAATAACTAAAGAAAAATGGAAAATTCACAAATATGTAAATTAAACAATACACTCCTGAACAGCCAGTGAATCAAAGAAAAAATCAGAAGGGAAATTTGAGAATATCTTGAGAAAACTGAAAATGGAAACACAACATACCAAGTCCTATGGGATGTAACA